CATTCGCATTGATATGTAACATGTGTGGCGCACACCTAATGTCACCTGTGGACCCCAAAGAAGCTGATGAAGCAGAGATCCTATCTCACCAACTTCTCCGCTACAGCAGCCGGAGAAATGACACACTGAGATTGGAAGTGATGTAATACACATCGCATCCAGTGTTCAGATGGGAGGTTAACCACTGGAAGTGTGCTGATCTCTCTACGATCAATGAACACAGACCCGCTGTGCTGGTCCTGGGCCTGCACAGGGGACAGCGGAGCCTGGGATAGCCAAAAGCAGAGGTAGGGCACACACTTCCCTATATATAGCCTCCAGAAACACTTGTATGTAAACAATCATCACCGACTGTAAAAAAGAATTATTACAACTCCCGAACGGCAAGCAGTGATTATTAGATAACTATGCACTCGGAGTTTGACATACAGGGGTACAGGTACCCTTAAAAATAAGACCACACAGGGACTCATACTCACGCAGATTCTCCGGCCACCCCGTTGTGATTGGACGGCGGCCGCACACTACGGTCTGCCGCCGGGACACCTTACACCGGCGTGCGCAACTTCCCCACAAATCCGGGCCTGTATGTAACTAGGACCAATAAGACTACAGGCATAATTGAAAGAAAATAATCAACTTCATGCCATATTTTGAAAAGGGTCAGAAAAAAGTATCAAAACAAGATAAAGAAAGGAGTGAAGAAGGTGAGCACTGGGTTCAGATCAAACATGAATTCTTCCCATAGAATAATACAGAATTAGTTATATTTTTTTAGGGAGAAAATAAATGCAATATAACCTCACTAAAACCTCACATCTTTAGATGCCAATGTAATAGAGATATAGGATTAACATTCATGTTGTCACATTAATTTTGCTTAGAAATCATTTTCTCCAACTTTATATAACTGACAAAAACAGTCAGCCATTCTTTATGAGATTCATGTTCCTTCTGCAAAAATTCCAACCATTCATTACAACTGCTAACTCTTTCTCAAACATTTGAAAGGCACAACGTTACCCATAAACCCTGATGAACGGGGATATTGTGGACCCCCGCAACATGTTGTCTTTTTTTAAATTCTATTGATCATTATAAATAAAATGCCATACCATTGACTCACTATCAGCAGTGGTGCCCCCATTTGTTCTATATTTGACTGAGTTGGCATATTTGTTGATCCACATTATATTTTTGACGTGTGGCTAAAGATTCATGATTTAAAGCAGATGAATACTTGTATTATTATTGTATATACTGATTTCTATTTAAAAAAAAAATATTTTATATTTCCTAGTAAGCAGGCTACACGGGCCATTTCAGGCTGTACCTGGCCAAAAGCTTTTATCGGTGCCTTCCCAAATTAGTGATAGACCTACCCTTAAACAATTTCTTTGGTGAACATATCTGAAACATTACTTATAGAAGATAACCAAGAGTGGTTGTTTAAGATATCCTAACACCCCAATAGTTATTTAGCTTTTCTGCCAATCAGACACAGTCACATCCTCAAGTCACATACTGCAGAGTTTCACATCCACCGAGCAGCATGTTTGGCAATTCCTCACTTAGGGCTCACATTGACTGCTGTTTAAAAGCTGCCTGAGTCCCATCTGCTACACTCATGTACTTTCCCCCCGAGGTTCCTATTCAGAAGCTTTCATATCATCAAAGCCAATTTCTCAAAATGAATGTATTTTTTTAGCATGCTTTACTTTGTAAACTCATTGAGGGGAATTCATCAAAACTGGAGCAGACAAAATCTGGAGCAGCTGTGCATGGCAACCAATCAGCTTCTCTCTTTCATTTTCAAATCTAAACTGAAGAGATGAGCTGATTGGCTGCCATCCGCAACTGCTCCAGATTTGATAAATTCCCCTTATTATGTTTTTCTTGGTGGCATACCTTAAAGAAAACCTGTCGTAAGAGGAACATGGGGGCTGCTAGTTTTTACCCTATTAATTGCTAGTTGCCATGCTGCCACTCCAGTTCAGAGGATAGGTCAGATTCATAGCTGGTCAATTAACATTTTCGAAAAGCAATGGTTAAGACCCTAATTCTCAAAAACAGGTTGACTTTAACTAGATACAATTTCCACTCTATCAGGAGCTACAGAGCAGTTAATTTTGTTACTCTGCTGCCACCTAATGGATTCATTCTAGTGGTGCAACTGTTGCCTTGCTGCTGTTCTGTATTCCCACAGGATCAAGATTTTGCACACTATAACAGATGTAAAAATTAAGATGTAAACTGTAAAGATATAAACTACATTGTATACTTTGTGGTATTATTATGTCGAATACTTTAAATAACAGAAAAAATATTAATAGAATTAAAGGAATGTCACATGCAAACAGTTCTATTGATGTGACTGATATATACAGTAGAAATATTTGAAATGTATTTTGCCTGTTACCTTTCCCTGCATATTAAAAAATTACACAGAAATTGTATTGGTATCTACATGTAAATAGTTTTTGTTTTTTTGTAATAATTCTTACATTCAATCAGTAAGCTACACCTATCATTTTTTGTCTAAATAAATAAAAGCTAACAAAGTGGTTTTAGAGAATTTAACTTTATCAAAATCTTATAGACAAATAGTTTAAGGAATCTTCTGCTTAGGCACCTGTGAATTCGCTAGAGAGCTACTGCTACTCTCTGGTTTGGGCTTTTCAACAAATGTAAGGGAAGGTGACCTGCTACACTGGTGACAAGGTCCATTCAGTGGTGGATTATAGTAGGTGTGATCCTAGTAGTAGCCCTGGGACCCCATGATAAGCTTGGCTTTAAAGCCATACACTTTAATTTAGTTTTAGTCACAATGAGGAAACAGGTTGACTTTAACTAGATACAATTTCCTGTCAGGTTGTCTTTCTTGAGCTACTGGATGCATTAAAAACCTGATAAAAAAAGTTCCTTCGCCTCTATATAAAAAAGGAGTTGGGCATTTATGCAGAAGAATTTAGACCTCTCCTAGTGGATAACTTTTACTGCACTTGCCCACATACCACCCCATGTGTTTACCATAATATCCTGCCTCCCTCTGTCAAGGGTCAGAAACATTGCTACACTGAGCCAAAGAACTTTGTAGAAACTATCTGGGGCATCAGAGGAGGCTCTTTATATTTACAGGATTATTCACAAGGCAGGAGAAGTGAACAATCTAGGACAACATAGCTGATTTGGACAAATTCTCCAATTCAGCTCACTTTCCAGTTCAGCTATGTTGTCCTAGAGCACTGGTAGGCTCCATCTTGGCTCTTTAGCTGTGCTGAAACTACAAATCCCATAAGGCATTGCAGGCCACAGGCATGACTCCCAGAGGCAGAAGCATAATGGGATTTGTAGTTTCAGCACAGCTGGAAAGCCAAGGTTGCCTACCCTTTTGTGAACAACCCTGTTAGTCCTCCATCAGATGTGTGGCCTCCAACACAAATCCTTTTCTTTGCCCCTACTCTCCCTTTCTCCCTCCATGTGTTTGTTCCCTTCTTCCAGCTTTTTATTGTCCTCACCCCTGCCATATTTAATTGCCTACCATGTTCCTCCTCACCCCCCGTCAATTCACCTCACACCCTACATGGTGGACTACTTAAATGGCCCCTGACGGCCCCAGAAGGAAACACAATTTACTTCAGAAGAGGAATTGAGTTAACATCTACTGATCACCTTCAATATCAAAAGAGGATTTATAGTTCCAAAACCAACAAAACGTACTGCCAGTCCCCTTATTTACTATTATGAACAATCGTGTGGATATGGAGACTGTATTCGCTACTTCTTGCATTACAATGTCTTGTACCTTACTGTATGTTTCCCTATGTTTAGGGCTTCCAGGCCTATCACTGTAGCTGTATTTACAAAAAAGGAATGGTAAAAAATAGAAAAATATATATTTGTTAACATTTCTTTGCAATGAATAGTCTCAAGGATTATGCGTCAGACTGAAAAATAGGATATTTGTGCTCACTGTAAAATGTTTTCCTCTGAGTCAATTGAGGGACACAGCTTGATGATAATTAAGCAGTCGAGTGTTATACTGCTGCCAACAGGAGAAATGGACACTAGGCACATAGAAATTGAAGTCCTGCCCCTTTACGGCTATAACCCCTCCACAGCTGCTCAGTTTTAGCAAGCATTCCAAAGAGCGAACAATAGCATATGAGGGGAGGGAGCTGTGTCCTTCAGTGGATTCCGAAAAAGGTACATTGGTCATTAAAGGACACAGCTTGATGACATATAAATTGTTTCCCATGGTCCCTGTATTTTTTGTAATATAGACACCTCTCCAAGCTCACTGATGGACTACAATCTCAATACAAATGAGCTAAATACACGTGAGATTGTAGTCCATCACGGGAATGATCGTGGAGTAGTGACTACATTACAACACACACAGGGAACATGGGAACAAAAGTAGCCACCGTCCAGAAGGAAGGACAGTGTCACCACCAATTCAGAGATGATTTGAGGATCTTCAGCAGAGTAATACACAAATAAGTTGTTAATAGTTAAGGTACTCAAATGCATTTTTAAGGTTTAACTCCCGAGTTTAGTTTCACTTTCAGCAACCTAAAGCAGTCCAAACTGAATGGTGGGCACACCATCACAAACACAGGCGAACAAGAGGACACCATGGCAAAAAGGAATCCAAGGGCATTAACTTGTCACTTGATTATAACCAGCATCTGCTGAGAGAGACACATTGACCATATAGAATTATTATAGCTGTGTCCTACAAGTAGACGATAAAGAAATATTTTTATGGTGATCAATAAACTTAGGACTATCATTGTTTCAGAGGGTGATCTCAACACAAGTTGAACAGTGTGAGGTCTTTGGTCAAAGGGCCAGTGATTTCTAAATTCAGGGATAAGTAACATTTGTGAATAATTGAACAATGCCAGTAGCAGCAATGTGCTATTCACTCATCTGAAAGATATGATTCATACATTAATGCTAGATGTTCTTCATTTTTGTTTTCTTTTACCTTGCAGTGTTTATCATGGCTTCCGGTCTTTTGGTGTACCCCTTTGGCCTCAACTCTATGACTGTGAAGAAATACTGTGAGAACTCAAGTATATACTATGCAGGAGACTGTCATATCGGATGGGGCTACATGCTTGCAATTGTTGGGGTCATGTTATCTGTATTTTTGCCATTTTTCGCTAAATATGCATCAAGAGAACATATATCTCCGACCCCAATTCCTACAATTTTATAGTATTTTATTACTGCTGGAATAAAAGAGCAAAAATAAATAAAATTCTGTCTAGAGAGGGTGGACAGAAGGTATTATAGCACTTCTTTGCAGCTGTGCAGCTTAACATATAGGCCACATCGAATATTGCATTCATCGTCTTCCTGAAGCATGATTAAAATAAGAGCCTTGAATCAAGTTTCATTACACGGCAGTGATTTTCTTAGGTTTCCTACTCCTTCCTTTATACTCTATGCTAGTTATTTTATATCTTACTACCTCCTAAAAAAACTAATTTTACATTGAATACAAATTCTGTATTGGAAGTCAGATTTGTTGTTTTAAAACAATTGTTACGCTGTATTAATTTTTAAAAATGGCCACCCAGTCTAAGTTCCATCTGGCTGCCTGGTACATCAATTACATTATTATAGGCGTAGTGCAATGCCAGACTGTCTCAAACCTCTCGTGATGTTCCATATCCATACCCTTTATTGGGTGTAGGGAGCTCAGCTCAGGCCCCATCCAGTCCCAAGGTTTTAGGAACGACTACACCCCCTGTGTCTGTGGTAGTTTCTGTTCAAGCTGCCAGCAACCTATCCATAATGAAGGCACTGAAAACTAGTACTGTAACATCATAGTGGAGCAAAAGTGGAATAGTTACTCTCACAAATTAGTCTGTTTCCTATTCAAATGAAGGAATCTGGCTGCCCCATTGTGGTCAAGTTTTGTTTTGACCACTTGTTTTCTTAATATTCCAGCAATCTGAAGTACTTGCTGCATAGAAAATCCATTTACAATGCTTTCCTGTTTCTGCCCAGGCTGCTGTATGCTATTAACTTATAGCATAAACTGAAACTCGGATAAAAGAATGTAAAAGTTGCATATTCGGCTTTTCAAAAGCTTACATTTTAGGATTGGTATTCACGTGAAACTCTCTTGGCAACTTCTTGTAATTGTATTTATACACAGAATACTGTTTAGCTTTCTGCTAAAGGATAACTCTACTTTCAAACAACTTAAGCCTGACCCCCCCCCCCCCCCTTTTTTTTTTTTAAATACCTCCTTGTACATCTGCATGATCAGCAGGGAGAGAGGCATCTATGTCCTCTGAAGACAGTGGTGACCTCAGGACTCACATTTGTCCTTGGTCATTAAGTCATGACCAAAGTCGCACAGGAATGCACAGCATTGTCATATTGTGCGTTCCAATGGGGGCGATCGAACTGTGGGTGGGAGGTGAGTTTGGGTGCCATTCAAATGAATAGCAACGCAGCACACTTCCCACACGAAAACACGCGGTATGTGCAATTGCGTGGAACAGTGTCCCAGATAGCAAGGATAACTTGCTACAAACTTGTGGCAGGGTGAAATTGTAATTTTTGTTAACTTGCTGCACACATTCCTGGCAAGTTGTAGACTTGCAGAACACTCGCAGCACAAGTTCTAGTTGACACTTTTTGAATTTGTAGCAAATTTTCTTGGCAAGTCTACAACAAGAGTCCTGCAGGTCTTAGCAAGAGCTCTGCAAGCTCGCTGGTCTGGAGACTTGCAATGCAGAATTGCTGTAATTGTGCAACAAAATTGTGTAGCTTGGCAAGTCTGCAATAGTTTAGCAAGTCATTTTCAAACTTTTAGCTCAATTGCTTGCTATCTGGGGTGTTAATCACACTGGACTGTACTATTAACGCACTGTACTAGTGTACACACACAACCACAGACACAAATTCACACACTTGCAGACATTCTCCCACACACATACATACTCCCCCAAAAAATGTACATTTTGTTTTCTTTTTTTTAGGATCCACCCAGTCTCCCTAGCTTACGAGAACTGGATCCTCAGCCAGGGGTCCAGTGCCGGCTGCTTTGCTGTGATAGAGCTCCATCCATATGTGCATTGCTTGTACAGCTCACTTGTGCTGGGAGCCAGAATGTGACATCACTCCAGTCCAGGCACCTCTACAGGGCACATGAGGGAGCTGTAAGCAATGCATGTATGGATGGAGCTCCCTCAAGGCCATACCCCCAGCCCACCACAGCTCAAGCTGACACTCGGCGCCGGGCAGCATATTTTGAATGGCTGCTCGGTGCGACAACTGACAATGCTGTGCTAGAGGGAGGCTGAGGAGGCCCACTGAACAACAATTTTGGGCCGTGACCCAGCAGTCGTGAACCACGGTCCTAAGAGATGATGGGGCCATGACATACTGCAAATCCGTGGCTTATTCTCCAAAGGCCCTTAACCTGTAGACATGCAAGCAGATAAATTTTTCAATAGGGCCTACAGAGAAAAATCTCTTTGGGGGAGGATAGGACTATCTCCCCACCTAGGCCGGCATAGGCCACAGTTACTGTACTAATCACCACCCTCTGTTCTGAGCTCTGTACAATGCTAGGAGGAGCTGGCTTAAGTTGGATAGTTATCCTTTGAGCCTTACTTCATTTATATCATCTACACATTCCTACTTGGTAAGAATCTTTTTTCAGTCTAGTTGACTAGACTATTATAAAACATTTTGTGAATATGATCAGAATTTAGACCTCTCTAATTACAAACACAGTTTTTATAAGGAGACCATTTATTCATTTCTAATGACTAATTATACAAAGGTGTGTAAAGTGCTATATTTCTGGTGTGTTGCAAAGTTGGTGTTACCTCACATTACTATCAAAGCTAGACATTTACACTGATATATTTAAATAAATAACACTATTTATGAAAGTAAGCTTTTTACAAACTTGGGCAATTCAAACAAAACGTATGATGAAACATGGCATATAGTGAGGGTACCCTCAGTGTAAACCACCTGTCAAAGTGATCAGTAGTTCCAGTGATATACGCAGCTAAACTTTAATATAAACCTCAGCTTTTCTATAAAAGTCTGCTTGGCTCCAGCCCTTCAACCTCCCAATCAGTGAAGCCACCCATCACATTAAGGACCAACAGGGAAGCTGAGAAGGTGAAAGGGACAGGGCCAAGCCTGACTTTTCATAGGAAAGTTTAGATTTTCAGGGAGCAGTCTAAGAACAAGCCAGCTTGGAGCTTCGGGTGAGTATAACCTTTTTTTTTAGCACCTAGACACAAACGAGCAGTTAACCCTTGCAGTGTGGGGGAAGCCCCACTGCAAGAGTTAATAAAAATTGTCCCCGAATTTTCTTTAATATCAACTTATGTATTTTATGTATCAGGTGTTCTATTTGAATTCCCCAAGTTTGTGATAGGTTTACTCTAAATGTGACTGTGTTGGCTTCCTGAACAGACTTAGTTACAGTATTATGCAAAATGCCTTTAATAACAATATTAGCATGGCGGATTGGAATTTTTCCTGTTTTATTTGATTTGCTTGCCACTTTAAGCAATTTATCGGGGGATTTCACAGTATAGCAACCCCCCTCCCCCATCAAGTGACCTGCCCCCCTTATACACCGTTATTACAAAGTACTAATAGAATGCCATTATTATTAGGGATGCACCAATACCAAGTACCGTACTCAGTACAAGTACAAGTACAGATACTTTTCCTGCTCCAAGACTAGACTAGAGAAAAAGTTAGGAGGCGGCTGTCATTTGTAAGGAGCACACGGAGCTCCTGGGATTTGTACATCTCCGTTTTAATGTGTGATTTTGTTTTTATAAATATAATGCACCAATACCATTTTTTCAAGTACAAGTACTGACACTTCTCTAAGCCCTCGTTCACACCTGACCGTTTTGTAGCGCGTTCTACGCTCGACGAACGCTCTACAAAACGGTCAAAAATATCAATTGCATTGTAGTCAATGGCCTCGTTCCCACCTTGCCGTATTTCCGCCCGTCCCTAACGCCCTACAAAACGGCCCACGCCTGAAAAGGTCCAGGTACTACTTTGGGCCGTTTTGTAGGGCGTTTTCCATTGGGATACAGCCAAGTAGCCTTCGGAATCGCGCGACGGTAGCGTGACTTTTTTACCGCGAATCGCGGTAAAAAAACGCGCGCCGGTCGCGCGACAGACATGCATATTACAATACGCCTAGGTGTGAATGGGGCCTAAGTACTCACAGATACAAGTACTGATACATCTCTAAGTACTCACAGATAAAAGCACTGATACATTTTTGTTTAGTGTCATGTGACAGTTTTTCTAAAACAATACAGACTAATGATTTCAGGACAGTGGTGGAGCGCCAGAGCCAGGTCCCAGCTGCAACCGCTGCAACCCTGGTAGTTCTCATGAAAATGCCAAGTATCGGCACTGGTATCTGAACTGGTATCGGTGCATCCCTAATTATTATAGACACCAGATTAAATCTGTAATCACAATCCTGATTCCCTGGATACTGGGAAGCTGCAACTAATGACAATCCCTTTGTCTGAAAACACAATCATCTAAGTGGGTTGTTATTTTGTGGAAAACCCCCATCAACAGATTAGTGTTCTTTTACTAAAAGTCCTGTGTCCATACCTTCCTGTACTTATCATCAGATTGTGAAACACAAGTACAAATCACAGGTGTAAAAAAAAAAGTAACTTTAGCCTGCACATTGCCCTCTGAGAACAGTGCACAAGCACCAGACGTGGCCTTTGAAAATAATGGCTGTCCCACGTGCCAGACGTGTGGCGGAGACAGCAATTATTCTCTATGGCTTGCCCTGGCACATCGGTGATGATCTCAGAGGACACCTAAATACATAAACGCATTGTAAATGTTGCTGTCTGAGGTTTATATTTGTTTTCCAGATTTGATGAAGAGTACAGCAGGGGGTTGGGATGTGGGTTGTTTTATAAAAGTGCACTTATTACGTAACAATTGGTATTATTTTGAACTTGCTATTTTTAAAATAGGAGTGAATGGAAAGTCTGAAGAAAAGCTTGATTTTGGGGCTTCTCCTGTGCACCATAGCAATTTTTTTTCAACTTTAATAGGAAACTATCATTAAATAACGACGATGTCTATTGTAAAGATATAATAGCCCTTGATAAACAATAGTTTTCTTAATTTGCTGTAATACATTACATGGAGTCAAATTATAACAACTGTGATAAACAGACAGAAAATGTCACACTTATGAAGAGGAAAGTTGCCACCTAACCATCCTGTGCCTTTACTAAAAGATCAATAGAACAAAAATATTATGTACCAGGGATGTTTATTAACTGCAAGATGCTGTACATTCTGTATAATACTGTTTTGATTATGTATTTGTCTGTTTGCAACAGTTCAGTGGATATTTGTAAAGAAAATATAGTTGTGTTCCTTTTTAATGTCATTCAAACAAAATGTCTATTACTTTACCTTTTATTTATACTCAGATGTTCAGATTATGATGTTAAAAACGGTTAACTAAAATATATTTTTCATTGATTTTGTCACACTAATAAAGTACTTTTTAATCAAACTAACCTTTTAGAACTCTGCCCTTTGTGCTTCAGCTATCATAAAGGTTTAACACATGTATTGGCGTGATTGGTTTGACTGCTGTACATTATATATACCAAGTCAGTTGTATACAGACAAGAAGATGTGCTTTTCTCAAAAGGATATGTCCACCACCAGGAGCTTTTTTTTCTTTTCAGGATATGTAAAACAAGCCTCTACATTATTAATAAAACCCTCTTATACACCGTTTATTTTCTACACATGTATTGTTTAGCACGGAGATTCCTAATTGTGAGACCTGCTGACTAAACTAGTGAGGCTTGAAAAGCTTTTCACACTAGGACCTTTCTGTTAGTTTTTTATTTTATTAAC